GGGCATCCCGGGCCCTCCCTGAGCCCCGTTCCGCCACCTGCAGGACGGCTCAGAGGCGGCACGGGCCGAGGCGGGGGTGCAGGCGCCCTACCCGGAGAGGAGTGCGGGGGCCACTGTCCCCCTGCAGGAGGCGGCGGATGGCGGCCCAGGTGAGTGGTGGCGACAGCCAGGTGGGCAGCCGGGCGACGAGGTGTCACGGGGCCACGTTGGGTGCCCAGAGGCCGCACGGCTGTGGGTTTGCATCCCATGAAGAGCTCGCCTGCCTGACGTGTACTTGAGGTGTGGCATAGTCACCAGCGGGGTAGTCACGGCAACAGCCCTGTGCCCAGAGACTGCCCTCTGGTGGCAGGCGGGCAGTCCCAGGCGGGGAGCGTGACAGCATGTCAGGCGCCGGTCCCCAGGGCCTTCTTGGTCACAACGTGTCCATCTGTCCTGTCTCTGCACCTCCCCGACCCCCCACCTTTCTTGACCTCCCAGAATCCAGGGTGGCCTCCAATGACTCTGATTCTGAGGTAGAGGAGGCCTCAGAGCTGCTGTCCCCAGCGGACAGGGGACACCGCCTCAGTTTCCAGGAGAAGCAGGGCAGCGAGGCCAGCGCGGAGGTGGCCCAGGGCAGCCGCAGCGGCAGTGAGGAGCAGCTGGGCCACAGGGAGGGCCTGACCCAGCAGCTTGCCGAGTTCAACGCCAACCAGTGCAACAACGTGGCTGAGGTCCCACTGCCTGACATGGGGCTCCGTGGGGGGCGTCTCGAGGCAGGCACGGGCCCGGGGTGGCAGCCAGAGTGTGTGTAGCTGGGGAGCCGGGCCGGCTGGGCTGGTGGCTGAGGAGGTCTCTGGGGACGTCTAGTCACCGTGAGGCTTCATGCTGCAAGCCCAATGCACTAAGGCCGCTGCTGGCTGCCTTTTCCAGAAGCTCCCAGGAGCACAGGGAGAGGCAGAGGCCTGCCCTGTGTTCACCTGTGTGCCGGGGCCGTGTGAAGAAGCCATGTGCACCCCCGCTGAGTGGCCCTGCCCTCGGAGCCGGCCACCCTGTGAGCCGCCAGGCCGCCGTGGAAGGCCACGCTGGGAGCCCGATGGCGGGGTCCAGGAGGCAGTGTCGGGCCCCACGGGGTGCAGGCATGTGTGACGTCCGTCCCGGGTCACGATGTAGGTTTTTCAAGTGCACACTTTGCTTAAAATAAAGTTTTAAATCTGAGCCCATCTTCTCTGGCGGCGGCGGGAAGGGGGACACAGAGGCCCGGGCCGTGTCTTTGGCTCCCCGCTGGAGAGGACTCTCAGGAAGAGAAATTCCACCAGAAAACAGCCCAGGTGGGCTGTGCACACACAGGCATCAGGTATGTGCTCCTGAGAAACTGCGGCCCAGGGCTGCTCGGGGGCCTCCCGGACGGCAGAAACGGTCCACTCAGGCTGTCCAGGCGGCGGCCGCCAGCTGGGTGTGGCCACGAAGCCCCGAAGCATGGCCGATGCCCGAGCACCCAAGCGTGAGCCTCATTCTCGCTGGCCAGTCTCAGAGCTGGGGCCGCCTTGCAGGGCAGCACAGCGGACCGCCGGCCGGCAGCCAGCGGGACCCTCCCCAATTCCTCTCACAGACCCCTTCAGCCCCGCTGGACGGACCTTGGAGGGTCAAGCACGGCTCCACAGCAGGAAGACCCAACCTTTCATCGGCTGCAAAAACCCAGATGGAATTCACACCCATCGGGACACAAGCAGCTGGGGAGAGGGGCCGGCCCGAACCCTGCAGCCCAGCCCTGGCTCAGACCAGCAGTGTCCGTGGCGGACAGGTCTCTCTGCGCAAGCTGGCCTGGCCCTCCCCGCCACAGCTGAGCAAGATCCGGGAAGGGAGGCCTCGGAGCCAGCAAACCGCGGCCCCACGCGGGCCAACAGCACACGGCCACGCCCACGCCTCGGTGCTGCCCGCGGCCCCTGCTGCCCAGAGCACAACGGGGACAGTCCGGCCCAGACCTGAAAACACCTATTCCTGTCCTTTCACAGAAAAAAATCAGCCGATCCAAGATACGTTTCACACTTGATCTTAGCCAAAAGGCCGAGAAGGGATCCGTCCGATACACGTTTTAAAACGGTCACAAGAATGAACCCGAAACTCTCCAACTGAGCAGCGCTCTGGCGGACGGCGGCGCGCCACGTACGCCCGTCTGCCAAGGCGTGCGCGTCCTGAGAAGCGCCCTGGAAGCCTGGCTGGGCGAGTCAGCCGAGGGCTCTGATGCTGTTTGCGGAGGGCCTGCTGATTTACTCCTTCGGGGCCGGCTTCAGGCCAGGCTTGGCCCAGGCTCACAGAATGTCACAGGGGCCTGGGGCTATGTGAATGGGCCCCCCCTGCTGCCATCCCCAACCCCGTACCCTAGGAGGGGCGCCCACGCCGGTGTCAGAGCAACCGCCCAGCTCACACCAGCGCTGGGGCCGTGGGACGGGATGTGCTCAGCAGCAGAGGCTGCGGTCCCCGCGCAGCAAAGGGACGTGTTCCCAGAGGAGAGCCCAGTGCTGCTGGAGGCGACAGAGGAGGCCGCGCACCAGACCGCCAGCCGCAAACCCTGCTGACCCGCGTGGTCCTTTCCGTGCCCACGGAGCGGCTCTGCACCCGCCGCACGGACGATGCAGACTCCCCCAACACGGTATCCCACGTGCCCGAGACTCCTCATGGCCCGACTTCCACAGTCAGCACGTCCTCACCCAGGGACAGACACAGCTTTACACGTTTATTTACAAACAAAACACAATTAAAACCCCGTAACACGGAAAAACTCCGATAACCAAATTTATTTTACTGTGGTTAAGACATCCAGGGCACTCGCCGTCTGAGCGCACAGCTCCACGGAGGGAGGCACTCACACCCCTGCCCTCCGTCTCCAGGACGTCCCATCCCCCCCCACAGAGACGGTCCTCAGGAAGCACGGACTTCCCACTCCTGCCCCAGCCCCGGCTCCCACCCCCTCCTCTGTCCGTGTGGACGGGACTCCTCTGCGGAGCTCCGGGGAGTGGGGACCTGCGGGACGGGGCCTTCTGGGTCTGGCCGCTCTCGCCGGGCCCCGTGTCGTCGGGTCCCTCCACATCGTAGCAAGGGTCAGGGTCCCTCCCTTCCTGAGGCTGGACCGTGTTCCCGCCTGGGGACGGGCCGCCTCTGGGGCCCTCCTGGGAGGGGGTCCTGTAGGTTCCATCCTTCTGGGTCTGGCTTACTCTGGTCGAGCTGACTTTGGAAGGCAGGACGTGTATTTGGGGGGATGGGAACAAGCTCTTCTAACACGTGGATGGATGGACCTGTGGGAGAGGACCCTGAAACCGCCCCATGCCAGTGCACACGCACAGGAGGCCCCACTGCCGTTCTAGAAAGTATCGAGACCCTGGTCTGTCTGGGGGAAAGCACATCCCCGTGCCACACAGGCCCGAGTCAACCCCAGAACTTAAGGCCACGTGTAAACTCACCAAACTTACAAACAGGTGTTTAAGCAACCGAAATCAAGGTCCCACCTCTGCCAAGCGTGTGAGAAGAGACACGTGCGCGTACCTGTGGCCTGTGCCGGGAGCGGATGGGACACGCAGCCCAACCCCGAGCAGGAAGCAGGTCGAGCAGACCTTCCTGCAGAGACGACACGTTCTCAGCACCAGAGAACAACTCATGGGGTCAGTCGTCAGGAGGGCATCACGCGTGCGGGGCGCCGGCAGCAAGCACAGGCAAGGCTGTGCGACTGTGACTTGGGGCCACCACGGCACCGAACAGCCCAGGGATTTCTGCACTGGGTAACCCGCTTCCGCACAAGCCAGCAAGTCCACACTAGACACACACCCAGAAAAAACGAACACACACGCCCAAGCAGAACTCGCATGCCGACGCTCACGGCAGCAGTATTCCTAAATCACGGCCCAAGACGCACAAGTCCAGGGTCCGCCGGAGGCTAAGTGGGTCACGGCATGTTTGCATTCGCAGCTGGACAGACGACATGTGACCCCGCGGATGGGAGCGTCCCCGGCCCCGAGCCGGAGCGAGGCCCCCACCTGCAGCCCCGGGGACAGAGCCCGAGCCCAGACACTCAGGGAGGGCGCCAGACACAGAAGGGCACGCAGGCTGAGTCCACGCGTGTGCCACGCCCAGACCAGGCTCCTCCGCGCACGGGACGGTGCTCGTGGGGGACGGGGACTGGCAGCTGACGGGGACAGACTGCTTCAGGGAGACGAGTTCTAAAACTGACGGCACCTGAAAGCCACCGAGGGGCGTCCTGCAACACGTCCACTGTGACACGTGAACCAGAGCTCGGTAAAGCCGGCCAAAAGACAGGAACAGCTGAGCTTCCAGCCAGACCAGGAAGGCCTCCTGCGTGGAATCGCTAATGCAGAGACCAGGGAACCTGACCACACACTTCCACGCAAGAAAACGCTGGAACAACGCAGAGAGCAAGCCCCCCGCTGCCCGCCCCCACTGCAGACTCCGGACAGGGACCCACCTGGACGTGGCCCCCATGGGGGGAGGGGCAGCAGGCCCCGAGGAACACGGGGACGGGCCCAGGGCCTCGAGCAAGGCCACTCAGCACACCTGTCACTCGCCTTGCTCCTCCAGACCAGCCAATTTATTTACTCCAGTACTTTCACTCTTACAAACACCCAGCACCAGAGCAGCTAACCCCCCCATGGCTCCGCGGACAGACGGCCAGGCCGCCCTGCTGGGGGCCGGCTGGACACTTGAGCCAGGACAGCGGCAGGTCACCGGCTGCTGCGGACCTCCCTGTGGCGTCCTGTCCCCTCTGGAGGCTCGCTCATGCGGGGTCCAGGGTGGGGCTCAGCACCCAGGCGGGGTCACCCCAGGGTCCGGAGAAGCAGCGGTGAGGTTCCTCGTGGTGGGGGGGCACAGCCCCATCTGTCTCCAGGCCACAGGGTGGGAGAGAGACGGGCGGACAACCACGTGTCAGGCCTGCTGTGCGAGGCGAGCCCGGCTGGGCAGGAAGCGGGGCTGCCTCCACGCCCCCCTCCCCAACAGGGAGGTGACAAAGACGACTGTGGGCTAAGGGAAGAGGAAAGCTGGGGCTCACTCCCGGACAGGCAGGCCCCGCGGGCCCACGGCGCATCTCACCGGCTCGCGGGGCGGCTACTGCACCAGCCGGTAGGTGATGTACCGGCCGGCGGTCTCGCTGGGCCGGATCACCTTCACCACCTGCGCACATGGAAGGCGGGAAGGTGGGGCTGCAGGGGGCCACACAGGGGCCCCGGGCTGGCGGGGAGCCGGCATGGCTGGATGCGCTGGCTCCGTCTAGAGGGGCCGAGCGCAGCACTGCTCACCTGCCCTCGCTTTATCCCGAAGTAGCGGGCCACCGGGTCTCCGGCCTGGATCCTGGGCAGCTGGTTCTCCCGGAGTTTACTGAGAAGCTTGGGTCAGGGAAAAAGCCAGGCTCCGCTGGCTGGAGCGGGGGGGGCTGGGGGGGGCGTGCAGGCGGGAGGGGAGAAGGACCCAGACGGGGGCCGAAAGGATACTACCGGGCCAGGAGCTCCGTCACCTCCTCCTTGGTCATGACGACATGCTCTGGGACCAGCTGCCAGGAGGAGAAACGGAGTCTCCGTGGGGCTGAGACCCCACTGTGCCTCCGCACAGCACAGGGGAGCACCGCGCGCCACGGGCTATTGCCTCGCCACAAACATCCACCCGGGGCGTTCGGGGATGTCCCGGAGGTCCCGACTGCTGTTCCCCAGCTCCCGACTCCACACGCAGACGGGGGACTAGAGCAGCTCAGGCAGACGGGCCGGGGGCACCATCTGGGGACCCCTGGGGCAGCAGATTCCAGCCCCCAGCTTCCTGACTCCTGGCAGGTTCCCGGGTGTGCTTCCCGCCTAGGGCCACACCCAGAGACCCTGCTCTACTCCCTCCTGCAGACCTTCGCCCGGACGCGGCCCCGTCACCCTCCCGCACCCTAGCGGGCCCCGTCTCTGCCCCCACCTCGTGCTCCGTGATGTTGATGAGCAGCTCCTGCTGCAGAAACTGCTCCAGGACGTACTTGGGGGCCATGTCCACCAGAGACTGCGAGACACGCAGAGCCTCACACACAGCCGAGGGCAAGACCACGCCACCCCACTTCCTCCCCAGAGGCTGACAGCGGGCGGCCGGCCAGAGGCGGTTCACTTGCACACCTCCGAAAAACGCCCCACGTCACGAATCCGGAAATCCCACCCATCAGCGGGGTTTCTCCAGGAGGAAGAGCCCACCCACTCCGACACATTTCCCGGGCCTCAGCCTGGCTTCACAGTGACATTTGACAAAATGCCGCCACGGCCGTCCCTGCGCTCACGGGACTGCGGGAACTCCGCACGGGGATGAGACTGCCTGCCAGCCCGCCATCCCACACCAGCACCCGCTCAGACCTGTCCACCCCCATGCAGGGACGCGGGCCCCTACACGGGTGGCCTCCCCATTCCAGCTTCTCTCCTCAGCGGGCGTTGGCCGGGACAACGCGGGGGCTGCTCTGGGAGGCCCGCATGGGACAGCTGCTCCTTCTCAGAGCCCAAGCTCCCGAGGCCAGCGGGGCCCTGGGAGGGGGACGTGAGGCGCACGGGCTCGGCCCTGGGGGAGGGAGACCAGGCACACACCCACCTGCTTGGCGGATGGGGTCATGCCCTGCTGCACCACGATGAGGGCCCGCGTGATGTTCTCCTCCTGCATCCGCTGGCAGTACACCTTGATGGTCTTGATTCCCACCTTAGGCTCCTCTGGGGACAGAACACGCGGCCGCCTGCACTGCAAGGACGCCTCTTCCGGGGGGCCTGCGTCCTAGCTCTGCCTCACCAAGGCGTCCCAGTGCAGCTCGGGAACAGGCTCTTCCCCCTGGGGCCTCAGTGTCCCCATGAGCCCAACGGGAACTGGGGTGCTGGTTCGCCCCATCTCCTGGGGAGCTGAAAGGTACCCCGCATCCCCCCACCTAAAGGGTCCTCTCTGGGACGAGGATCCAGAAACCCACTCAGTCCAGTGCCTCAGTGGTTCCAAGGCCTGCGAGATGCCCCCACGAAGCAGTTTGCCCGGTCTAGGCAGCATGGTGGCTGTGTGTTCAGGAGGGACGTGCAGTCAGCTGACCTAAGCGATGACAGTCCCGTCCCCGCAAGGCCAGACCCACTGGTCCCTCTGAGCCCAGGTCAGCTACTGGCTGCCATATGCGTGAGGCTCCCAGCCGGGCCTTCCCGTGCAGCCCATTGCCTCGGACCCTCACTCACCTGATGGGAAGCGTCAGGGGCTGAGTTGTGCCCCCCAAATCCCACCGTACTTGGGAACAAAATCTTTAAACAGACGGTTTTATCTAAACAAGGTCGTTAGAGTAGGGCTTAACTGGACAAGACCAGCGGCCTTCTAAGAGGACGTGAGGACACAGGGATGCAGAGGGACGACCGCACGAGGACACAGAGACGAAGGCCCATGTACCAGGGAGAGAGGACTCAGAAGGACCCAGCTCTGGGGACACCCTGGTCTCAGACGTCCCGCCTCCAGCAGGGACGGGGATGAGTGGGACATCAAAGCCGCCGGCCCAAGGAGCTTTGCCGTGACAGGGCAGGTGGACTAACAGCAGGGAACCCAGTCCCGGCCTGGGGCCTGTCTGAACACGACGTCCACCCCGTCCAACTCCAGGGAGGGCCCTGCCCCCAGGCCGATTGTGAGGAGTCTGAGACCGCTCCACGGGGAGGCACCTGACTAGGCACCAAGGCTTCCAGGAAATACGCCTCACACACAGGGGCCCCTTTGTAAAAGCACCGGCTGGGTCCGTCCTGCAAACGTTTTCAATCCCCTTAATGCCAGGCGGGCACCGGGCCCCCAGGTGCTCCCTACACAACACGGCCTCCAGCCTCTGCGGGCTTTACAGTCAGACTGCCTCGCTGCAGCAGGGGCCACAACAGGAGCACAGGGGTCCTGGGACAGCCCATGGTGGGCTCTTCGCTTGACCCAGGGCTTAGAGGGGCTCCTGGAAAGGGAGGCTTCTGCACTGGGGTCTCCAGGGATGACAGATGGACACTGAGCAGACACACCAAGCAGAAAAGAGTGTGCTGAGGGCAGAACCCTGCAGCAGCACGGGAAGGAGCTGCAGGGAACGGGAAGCACAGAGAGTGGCAGCGGGCTGTCGGGTGGGGTCAGAGGATACAGGTGAGTCTGGGGGCCCACGGGGGAGGCCTGCGATGATCCTGCTGGACAGAGAAAACCATCAAGAGAGAAACAACAGGGAACTGAAAAAGCGCTCAAACAAGTCAGAACTCAGTGGTGTTGTCCACAGCGGGGAGGAGCAGCTTCCTTCCGACTGGCACAGAAAAGGGTCACCCAGACGTGGGGTCACCCAGCAGATAGCTGCCATGAGCTGACCCTTGAGAAGACCCTTGGATGGCTCTACTAGAGCTGCGACCCTGAGGAGACACACAGCCACCCAGGACCAGCAAGGGCCTCACCTGGGAAGAACACGAACATCTGGTCAGTGGGGTCGTCGTTGTGGGCCACCAGCACCGTGAGGTCTGTGCGCCGTGGCCGCCCCTCACTCGGCTTGTCCCCAAACTGGGCCTTGAACTCTTCCAGGGTCTGGTCCAGCTCATCCTGGGTCACCAGGTAGCCACGGTCATGGCACAGCTGCAGAAAGAACTAGCCAGTGAGCTCAGGGCAGAGGAGGGATGGCGGAGGAGCTCGGATCAGAGGAGGCCGCTGCAGGAATGACACGGGTTTTGGGGGCCTGATGCAACAGGTGCAAGCAAAGGTCAGAGAGAAAGGGGTAAGTGGGGACAAAGACCAGGACGCACCCCAAGAGAGCTCCTGCACAGAGCCAGCCGCCACGCACAATCCGTCATCTCATACTGAGCCTCGGGGACAGGCTGGGACCGAGAAACAGGGGCAGAGCTGTGGCCCGGGGGGCTGGGGCACATGGAGGCAGCCAGGCCGGAGGGACACTGCCGGGCAGCCCAGGGTGGACTCTGGCTGGGAACCCGGACACAGGCCGGGCAGTGCTCAGAAGTCAGGGCTCCGTGGGCGGGCAGACAGAAGAGGACCCAGACGGAGAAACGCGGGGCCAGAGCGGCCGGTCAGCCCCGCGCCCACTCCCCTTCCCCCAGGAGACCCCGGCCTGATTCTGGGCGCAGGGCCCCCAAGGCGCGCTCAGCCGCAGGCACAGCTGTCCCGGCGCCCCTTCCAGAGCCGCGGCGCAGAGCGGAAAGGAGCCAGGGCGGGCGGCGGCCCGGGCTTCGCCCCGCAGGGCTTCGAAGCCCCCTCCCACGGGCGGCCGGACCGCGTGGCGCGCGGCGGGTGTCCTGGTTAGCGCGAGTCCCTCGGAGCTGGCAACCTAGGCCGACAAGCAGCCCTCCCCGGACGGCAGGTCGGGCCCGCTGACCCGCAGGACGCCTCCCACGGGCCCGGCCCCGGCCCCGGGGCTCCGCGTCAGGCACGCGCAGGAGCGTCAAAGCCCCCCGGGAGCACCGCCGAGCGGAAGAACGGGTCGGCCGCCCCCTCTCTCCCGCCCGCCCGCGACCCTCCCCGGGGCCGGTCGCAAGCCCGCGGGGTCCCCACCCCGACCCCTCCACTCCGGCCGCCCCGCCGAGCCGCCGCGTGCCCGGCCCACCCTCACCGCCTTAGCCACGCGGGCGCACCTGCATGATGGTCTTGCGGATCTTCCACAGCCGGTAGGTCTCCTCCTCGTCGTCCATAGCCACCACCGCTCTCAGTCAACGCGCCTGCGCCTGCGCCTGCGCCCGCGGCAGGACCCGCACGGACTGCGCCTGCGCCAAACCCCGCCCCCGCCCCACGCAGGGCTGTCGACGGCGAACGCCTGACTCCAGAGACCTTCGAGAACGGCAGCCCTGAGGGCAGCCCGGGCCTTCCGCGAGCGCCGGTTGGCCGCGCGCGAGCCGAGCGCATGGAAGGGCCCATTCGCGCCTCCGCAGTTCTCGCGTGGCCTGGGCCGCGGGGCCTCTCGGGAGTTGTGGTTTCCGCTCAGCGCCCGTCTTGGGACGGAATTTAGACTCGGGAGAGGCCGAGGCGAGGCAAGGTGCGGGCGGCGAAACCGAGGCCCGGGCGGGATCCGCGGCCTGCCCGCCTCCCTCCCAGAGACGGCCGGGCGACCTCGCAGGCCCTCCATAAATCTGCAACCAACTGCTATGGGCCACGTCCAACTGAATGCCCCTGAGCCTCAGTTTCCCCTTCTGTATAGTGGAAACAAAGTGTCCCCGTTTCAGAGGCTTAGCTGAGAATCTAAAGGACAGAGCCTGGCACAGCCCTCGGGCTCAGGAAGTGCTCCCACCTCCGTCTCCTCCCCGTCCTATCCCCTGAGACCCGGCAGACCTCTGCCTGCATATCCCACAGCCCCAGCCCCGACTGCGCATCCGCCTTTCTCCCCGCTCAGCGCTCGCCCCACCGGAGGCCGTCAGGAACTTCTCATTCAGCGATGCATTCCCAGAGACGGTGAACTAAACAGGCCAAGGCCCCCTTCCATTCCGAGAAGACCCAACAGAAACCGCGAGCAAAACAATAACGTTTAGAACATGATAGTGCAATGGAAGACGGGAGCTGAGCCAGATGGGAGATTCCCAGTTTCCAACTGGGAAGGCAGGGAAGGCGAGCAGCAAGAGAGATTCCAGCAAAAGGCCAAAGGACAGGGAGGAGGCTATGGGAATGTCTGAAGAAAGGTGTATCGGCCAGAGGGTAGTGTGTGCAAAGGCCCTGAGATTGCACTTTGCCTGGTGTGTTGGCAGTGAGGAGGCCCAGTGGGGGAGGGGGGAGAAAGGAGGTTAGAGGGTGTAGTGGGGCAAACCCTGGGAGGCCTTGTTGATAGGGTTGAGAAGTTTGGGTTTTCTTTTTCAACCACTGTCAACATTTCACCAGAGAAACTAGGGAGGGGAAAAGGGAGGGCCACTTGGCCACAGATGGGGGCTCCAACTGGGGTAGGGGTGAGCAGTGGGCAGGTTCCTGGTGTTCGGAAGGTGGACCCCACGGGATCTGCAGATGGACAGGGTGTGGAGAAGAGACAGATGGAGAGGGAGGAGGATCAGAGCTGCTGGAATCAGGACAGACCAGGGAGAAACAGGTGTGGACGGCAGATAAGGGGCTCCGGAGGGGGCCTGGGTGGCTCAGTTGGTTGGGTTTCTACCTCTTGATTTAGGCCAGAGTCATGGTCTCAGGACCATGGGACTGAGTCCTGGGTTGAGCTCCAGGCTCAGCGGGGAGTCTACTTGGGATTTTCTCTTTCCCCCTCTCTCTGCCCCTCCCCCCACGCATTCATGCACTCTCCCTAATACGTGATTTTTTTTTATTTTTTTAAAGATTTTATTTATTTGACAGACAGAGATCACAAGCAGGCGGAGAGGCAGGCAGAGAGAGAGAGGAAGGGAAGCAGGCTCCCTGCTGAGCAGAGAGCCCGATGTGGGGCTCGATCCCAGGACCCAGGGATCATGACCCTAGCCAAAGGCAGAGGCTTTAACCCACTGAGCCACCCAGGCGCCCCAATACATGATTTTTTTTAAAAAAGAAAAGAATGGGGCTCCAAGAGCGCCTGGCTGGCTTAATCAACAGAGCATGAGTTCCCACCCCACACTGGGTATAGAGATTACTTTAAAAATAAATTAAAACTGGAAAAAGGGCGTCTGGGAGGCTCAGATGGTTAAGTGTCTGTCTTAGGCTCAGGTCATGATCCCAGGGGCTGGGACTGAGTCCCGCATCGGGTTTCCTGCTCAGTGGGGAGCCTCCTTCTTCCTCTGCCTCTCCCCCTGCTTGTGATCTCGCTCTGTCAAATAAACAAAATCTTAAAAAAAAAAAAAAATGAAAGAGAGAAAGAGTTTCCTGTCAACCCAAGGAGAAATGTGGAGGAGACAGCACGATGAGTCTGAGATCCGGGGCAAGGTCCAAAGGGAGACAAGACACGTGGGAGTCACTGGAGACTGGAGTCTGCACGGGGCCACCAAACAGATCCGAACCCTTGCCAGATTCAGAGGCCAAGAGCAGGGAGGACGCGGATCCCGAAGCAGTGGCCGATGGTGGCCATGGGAACCAAGGCCCATTACTTAACCTTTTTTGTGCCTAAATGCCTCCCTTCCCCCTACCTTGTGGGACAGGGACAAGAGCAGCACCCACTTCCCAGGGAGCCTGGCTAATGACTGTGGCACCAGCTGCCAGCAGTGTTACGTGAACGCTTCTAAGTGGAATAAAGACCAGCAAGAGGTTGCCAGGTGCCCTCCGGTGGGGTGGAGAAGCTGTCTGGAGGATGGGGGAGGGGTCAACATGACCACCAAACGGGGAGTCTGAGCCGACCTGCAGATCAGGTGGGGTGTTATCCAAGCAGACATGACTGGCGACCCTGGGGCAGGGTAGGATTTGTGGGAGGAAAGGAGTTAAAGATGTGGACATAGATGCCAAGGAGAGAGGGGACTGAAGGTGGAGAGGGGGAGGGCTAGGAACAAATTTTAAGATGGGAGATACGGCACCTGTCTAGGTTCTTGGAATGATGGGCAAATCTGAGTAAGAGGACCAGGCAGGATTGTTGGAACCTGGATCCCAGGGGGAGGCTGGGCCCAAGGAGGGCTGGCCTGGATGGTCCCCCAAGAGGGCCCAGGTATGTGTGGCAAGTGGAGACAGCAACGGGGCTGTGGACATTAGGGGGAGAGAGGAGAAAGGCCTCATGAGAGCAAGTGGGCCCCGGGACCCCAGAGAACCCGGCCAGGCCCGAGCATAGTTCCAGTGGCCACCCATCCCGTCGTTCCAGGGAGGCTGGAAGTGGGCGTCTGGGGCGGGGGGAGTAGGAAGCCCTGGCGGGAGGGTTGTGCAAGACAAGGAATGGGGAAGCGGACCCTGGAATGTATTTCCCCATTCCGCTGCCTTCACCCGCCAACTTGGCCGGCACTTGGGCAGGCCTGGGTGGGAGGCAGAGAAGGGGGTGTCACTGGCTTCAAGTGAACCAAACCCAGAGAGTCCGCGCCCGCGGCCTCTGCAGCCATGGGTCAAAGTGCACTCTCGGCGGGGCGTGGGGCAGGAGGGCCCGCTGAGGAATTCCCTGACTCGGTTCCCAAGAGCGGGCGGGTCTGTTTATGGCACAGCCCTGGCCAGACGCCAGAACCTGGGGAGAAAACAACAAGTCAGAAGCGCAGAGGTTGAGCCCTGCCGCTCTGTGCGCCCACGGTCGTGCACCGTGGGGCGCAGGCACCTCCCTCCGGCGTATGTCTGTCCGCCCGTCCGCGCGCGCCCGCCCCGCGCAAACCTGCGCGTCCTCGCGGCCGCCGGGCCCGCTAACGGTCACCTGGTGAGTGGCCCCCGGCTCACGTGCCCCTTCTAACGGCGGGCGCTTGCCGCTGGGCGGCCGCCGGCCTTCTCGGGGCCACGGGCCGAGCGAGGCGCTCCCGCGGCGACACCGGAGTCCGACCCCGCGTGACTTTATTAAGTTTTTAAGGAAAGCCTCCAGTGTCCAAAGAGCTGGAGCGGTTTTTCTGCGAGCCCGAGCCCCCCCACCTCGGGCTTCCAGTAATATCTCCAGCTGTCAGGCATCCCGTGGCCGCTGCGGCCAACCACCCGGATAACCGTCTCAAACACACCGACGCGCCCCCCGCGTGGACCCCACCGCCCCCACGCCGGCGAGCATGCGCAGTCGCCCACGGCCGCGGAGCCGCAGCCCGGCCCCAGCCCCGACCCCGCCCGCCCCTCCTCCCCGGCCTCCCATTGGCTTTCATCACCACGGATCCGCCCTGCCCGCGCGTCCGACCAATGAGAGCCCTGATGGGCGTGGCCCAGGGCGGGGAGGCGGGGCCGGCAGGCGCGCGTCCATTGGTGGGCTCGGCGAGGGGAGGAGCCGCTGCCTCCGGCGCCCCGCCGCCGCGATGAACCTCAGCCGCCTGTGCCGCTTGGTGAAGCCGGCGCTGTTGTGCGGGACTCTGGCCGCATCCGGTCTGGCCAGCACCATGGTGAGCGCGGCGCCGGCGGAGGGCCGAGGGGCCGTTGGGCGGACTCGCGGGGCCGCGGCGGGCTCGGGCAGGGGCCGTTCGGGATCAGGGCTTGGGCGGCCGGGACCCCCGTTGGGCGCCTGCGGGGCGCGCGAGGCCGGCGGCGTCGAGGCCGCGAGGGGGTTAGGGGCCGGGCGCCCTCGGCTGCTGGCGTCCTCGGCCGGGGCCCGGCGAGCGGAGGGCGCCCGGTGGGCTGGAAGACCCGGGTCACGCGCCGCGGGGCGACCCGCTCCTCCCCCACCCGGCGCGGCCTCGGGGCCTGCTTGGTGGCGTCACAGACGGGCGGCCGGGCGCCCTGGCTACCGGCCTTTTTGTGCCCCGGCGCGGGCCTCTGGGCACAGGCGCGGCCGGGCATGGGCCGCGCGGCCGCCAGGTCCCCGGGTCGCCGCGGGCAGCGCCGCCGGTTGCCGGGCAGGCGGCGGCAGCAGCGACGGCAGCGCCGAGTCCCCCGGCGGCGGAAGGCTAGGGCTGGCGGACGCAGGAGGGCGCGCCCCCGGCGGGAGGAGTCGCGTCTGGAGAGCCCGGGGCAGGCGGAGCTCGAGACCTGGGATAGCGGCTGTAGTGTGGAGTGCCCAGAGCCGGTGCGCGCGGGTCCCCCACCCCGGCCGCCAGGCACCTGGCGCGGGCCCAAGCCCTCTCTGGGCCCCAGCGGCTTCTCTCCAGTGTGCGCTGCTGCGCAGAGGGCGTGCGCCCTTGCGGAGGAGTCGTCCTCGGTTTTTCCTTGCCCTGGGGCCTGGGTTTTCTCGGCGCGCATCCACCTGGGAGCCCTTCCTCCGGGCACCCCAGGCCGGCGAGTGGGCCAGGTGGCAGGGGGCTCTGGGCTGTGCGCCCCGAGGTCCCCGCGCCGCTCATGCGCCTTCCTTGCCTTGCAGTGCGCGTCCCGAGACGACTGGCGCTGTGCTCAGTCTATGCACGAGTTCTCCGCCAAGGACATCGACGGACGCACGGTTAACCTGGACAAGTACCGGTGGGTCCCTGAGTGCCCCGTGGGAGAGGCGGGGGAAAGGCTGGCAGCGCCAAGCTGGCCTGACTGCCCCCTCTCGCCTCCAGGGGCTTCGTGTGCATCGTCACCAACGTGGCCTCGCAATGAGGCAAAACAGACGTAAACTATACTCAGCTTGTCGACCTGCACGCCCGATACGCTGAGTGCGGTTTACGGATCCTGGCCTTCCCTTGCAACCAGTTCGGGAGGCAGGTGCGTGGCTGGCGCCAGCCCCGTGTCCCGGTGTGCGGGAGGGGGCCGGCGGGAGCACGGGCTGCTCCTCGCTCACCCCCACGGCCCTGCTCGCCACAGGAGCCAGGGAGTAACGCGGACATCAAAGAGTTCGCTGCCGGCTATAACGTCAAGTTCGATATGTTCAGCAAGATCTGTGTGAACGGGGACGACGCTCACCCGCTGTGGAAGTGGATGAAAGTCCAGCCTAAGGGGCGGGGCATGCTGGGAAAGTGAGTGGGAGGCTGGGGGAGGGGAGAAGAGCCTCGGGGCTGGGGTGGGGGTGCCTGGCGGGCCTGTCGCATTTGCCACCGGAATCCTCATGACTTCCTGTTGCTTCCCTAGTGCCATCAAATGGAATTTCACCAAGGTAAGAGGCTGGGAGGTGGGGGTGGGAGGCCAGGACCGCGTCCAGGGCCAGCTCTTGTCCCCAGGGCCCCTGTCTACTCAGCTGCAGCTCAGGGCCCTGGCCCCAGCGCGGCGGCAGGTGGGGGGCTGCTTACTTGCCCCCAGCGCCCCTGGCAGCAGCACCCCCCCACCGCCCCGCCCCGGCTGCTGCCCGGGAGTGACACAGCCTCTCTGGGCAGTTCCTCATTGACAAGAACGGCTGTGTGGTGAAGCGGTATGGTCCCATGGAAGAGCCTCTGGTAGGTGCCTTTCTGCTGAGCCCGGTGGGGGTGGGGGCCAAGGGAGAGGCCACTCCTGACTCCTCTTTGCCCCCGCAGGTAATTGAGAAAGACTTGCCGTGCTACCTCTAGCTCCACAAGTATGCGCCCCCCCACAGCCCTGCCCCTCGGAGCCTTCCACCCGGCACCCATGACGGTCTGCCTGAAAACCAGCCCGCTGGTGGGGCAGACCCGAGAACCCGGCGTGCACCCTTCGCCGGAGGAAGGTTCCTCGGCCCGGCTCGAGGCTTGGCGCCCCCCAACCCCCCTGGTTATCTTGTGGGAATAAAACATCCACATTGGCTTGCTGTGTGCTCCTGCCTCCCTGCAGGGGGTGAAGGGTGGGAGGGGAGCCTTTTCCCCGGGCCCCTTCTGGTTCAGGGGCAAGTCCTGGCCTCAGAGTTCCTGGGCACTGTGGGCTCTGCGGACTGCCCGGTGCTAATCTGAGCGGCCCGCCCACCGAGCGAGCGCCGGCAGAGCCGATCCGGCAGGAGGTAATAGGAATTAACGGCTGTTCCTCCTGATCCAGGGTGTTAACCTGTTCGGTAACAGCTGTTAGAGCCATGCTTGGGGCCAGTCTTCCCAGGGCCTAGAGGGGGAAGGGTCAGTGGGGCCTGGGCCTTGTGGCTCTGCCCACTGGGAAGCCAGGTACCTGGAACCGAGCATGAGGCCAAGCTGGTCCGGGCGCAGAGCCACGCCGGGCACAGTGGCCTCATTGTTGGACACAGCCAGGGCACCCAGGCCCGCCCTCAGGGCCTCATGTGGCCCTGGCAGAGGGGGCATCGTCTCCAGCCTTCCTGCCCCAGGAGGGGTGGGGGATGGCTTGGGGCTGAGGGCTCTTCGGATGGATACCTGTCCCTGTTTGGGGGGAATGGCACGGCTGGAGCGTGGCTGAGACTGCCCCCACCCCCTTTCCCACTACCTCCAGTACAGGTCAGTGGCAGAGGAAGCGGCTGGAGTACTGGAATAACAAGGTGGAGGGAAGCCCCCGCCACCCTGAGCTGCTTCCCCGGGCTCTCCTGGCTGCCCGCTTGCCCACATTCCGGCTGGAGACCCGTCCTGGCTAGAGACCCGTCCTTTGAACTTCAGGGCCACACCCACATGTGCTTCCTGGGGCTTCCAGGAAGGCCCGGCTCTGGGGCCTTCCTGCTCCGGGGTACTCCAACCCCCCTGAGACAAGCCTGGGAAGAAAACCAAAGCAGGGGCCACAGCTGTGGACACCAGTGATCAGAGGATCTGGTCTCAGAGCACTACCATGAGGGTCCCCGGTAGGGTTTGTGTCTCTAGCACACAGGAGGCGACCAGCGTCCCAACCAAGACACCATAAGCCTGGCACAGCTAGTCTGGAAGTAGCTGGCCTGCCATGCTAGTGACAGAGTGACAGTAGACAATGGCCTCTTGGGGTGGGGACCTGTCTTCCAGCTGGGCCCTGGCCTCACAGGGGTGTGGGAGAGGAATGGGCTGGTCTCACCCACCCTGGGTGCCCTCCACAGGCGACAGCCACCTCCACTGCCCCTGAACAGGGTCATTACTGGCATCTGCTAAATGCTCCTGGAAGAGACCTGCAGCCTCCCCCAACCCCCCACCCCCGCCGGGGCCACGGTCTCTACAGGCTGGAGAAGCAGACAATCTGGGAAATAGTGAAAAGGCACATATATTTAAAAAAGATCTCTTTACATATGTACACTTGAATTCATTATAAATACACATAGAAACCAAGGGGCCCGTCCACACCGCCAGCTCCACGGCAGATTCTGGGGCCTGGGAGAGGTGGCCGGGCAATAATTTAGGGAGCAAAGAGAGTGGGGAAGAATTGCATATATTAATAGGGGGGGCCTGTCCCATGGAGCCCCCCAGAGAAGGCAGGGCCCTGAGCACCTGGGGTTTCCTGAGTTTCCAGCTCTTGGGGCCACCCAGTTTTGTGGATTCCAGGGGTTCCGGTCAGACCAGGCCCTGTAAGGTGGGTGGGGTGAGGTGGGTTGGGGAGCCCCTGCCTAGGCCTGGTGGCGGGGGGAGGACAGAGGCAGAGGGAGGGTGGGCCCCCCACCCCTGGGCCCTGCCCGAGCCTAGACTCCGAGTCCAGACCCCGAGTCATCCTGAGTGGGATCTGCACTGCCTCGGAGAGCCTGGAAGGGCGGGCAGCATCGGGAGGGGTCCGCCCAGCCGCCCGCAGGGAAGGCACTGCTGTGGAGACCTCCAGTACCGGATGGGGGGCACCGCAGCCCCCCCCTCCTTCCTGGCAGTCAGCAGGGGAGCCCGGCCCGCGCACCACCCACGTGGGCGGGAGACCAGACGGAGTCCCTGTGGCCGCCGTTGAATATTGCAGAGAAGCAAGCTTTCTCTCGGACACCGGCTGCCGGTCGCCTAGCGGGTCTAGGAGTTTGGAAAGGGGGGGCCGAACTGGATGACGCTCTGCCGCTCGGGGCCCCCGGCCCCCACAGGCGCCCCTGCGGCCCCTGCGCCCGGCCCCGAGGGACCGGTGGGCGGACCGGCGTTGAGGGAGCGCAGCATGTCTTCCAACACCTCCTTGAAGTTGATGTCGCGGCCCTGGTGCGCCAGGGCCGCGGGGTCCGCTGCGGTGTCCGGGGCGCCCAGCGGCAGGCCCCCGGGGGCTGGCGCCGCGTCCGGGGGCGGGGGCGGGAAGGCAAAGGGTGAGGGCGGCGGGAAGGCCTGTGCTGGCGGGCTGTAGGTGAGGTCCAGGACCTCGCCCGGGCCGCAGGGCAGCGCGAGCGGGCGCAGGGCGGGCAGCGGCGCGGGGAAGCCCCGGCCGCGCGCTTTCTTGCGCTTCACGTCCGCATCCATGAGCTGCAGCTCCTGCAGCACGCGGCGCACACAGCCCTCGGGGATCTTGATGCCTGGGGCGGGGGGGGGGCGGTTTGGGGGAGAAGGAGGGTCAGCGCGCCCGAGACGGCACCCCCCCGCCCCCGCCCCCGTCGGCGTGCCCTCGCGCTCACCGACTTGCTTCTTCTTGTCCTTGGTCTTGAGGCGCACTATCTGCAGGTAGCTGCTGCTGGTGACGTCGGCCATGACGGCGGCGATGCGGCCCCATACGCGCAGCAGGGCCCCGCACAGCATGTAGTGGTGGCGCAGCCGCAGGCCCTGCGTGCAGTCCTTGCCCTCCTGCACCAGCCGGCAGGGGCGGTTCCTGCGCCGCGGGGGGCGGGGGCGGGCTCAGACCCGGAGCGCCGCCACGCACCCGCCTCCCCGCGCCGCCCTGGGGGTCCCGTCCCCACCGCCCCCGCCTCAGCGTATGGCTGCCTGGTAGAGGGGGCGCCCGGCCCGGTCCCGCCCTGGCCCTCACCACGCCGCGTGGCTGCAGTGCGTCAGCGAGAAGGCGTAGCTGTTCTCCCAGTGCTCCCTGGCCTCCTCTGCCGTCACCTGGGGACCCGCGGCCTCGTGAGCCCCGAGCACGTGCCGGCCGGCTGCGTGCCCCCCCAGTGCAGGGCGCCCCCCCAGTGCAAGGGTGCCCCGGCCCGCACCCCAGCCCCTCAGCCCGCGCGTACCCTGCGGAACTTCCGGCACAGGCTGTCGTACGTCTCCAGCTGGCTCTGCCGACCCACGTTGGGCTTGTACACCGTGAAGTGCTTCCCGCGGTTCTGCTCGGCCAGGAGGCAGCTCGGCTTGCCTCGAACCTGGGCAGGTGGGCGCGTGAGGCCGCGCTCTGCCCCGCCCCCCCCCCGCCCCATCCCCCCCTCTCCGCTGGGGTCCTGCCCCTGGGGACCTGTGTGCCACCCAGACGCCCACCTTCGAGAGGTAGAAGCCATCATGGGTGCCCGTCAGCTCCAATGACCTGGCATAAACCTCGTCCCACTTGAGGCCACGGTCCACGCTGATCTGCAAGAGCAGATGGGCTCAGAGTGGTGGAGTAGCCACGGCGGGGACCGAACTCCCAGTGCTGGGCGGCTCTGGGTGCCCTCACCTTGTAGAAGACCACCTGCCCGTCCTGTGGGTGTCCGGGGGCCAGGAAAACCTGCTGGCTCTCCTCATAGATCTCGTCGATGCCTGGAGCCAGGTCTGCAGAGAGAGCGTGGAAAGGACAGTGGGCTGAGACCCTCCCGCCTGCCCCCCCCACCCTGGGGGGTCCCTGCCCCAAGGATCCCAGCATGGCCTGAGGCCCTGTGTGGCTGGGCAGGCTCCGGGCTCTGGGCTTTGGGGCTGTCAGTCCCAAGTTCTGGGGTACCCCAGAGATGCCCCCAGAGCACAGCAGAGGTTCCCCCAGTACAGACGGCCTGGGCCCGACCCTACGTGGCACCCTGGACGGCAAGTGGCCCCTCCAGTGGTGGCCTGGGGTCCTACTGGACACTCACCCTCAGTGGGACTACAGGCCCCACAGTCTGCTCTGCGTGGCTGCTGGGGGACAGCTGATGTAAAAGTCAGCAAACTGTACCTGCCACTGAGTTTACGAAAGTTTATTGGCACACGGCCACGGCCATTCACGTTCCAAGAGCGTGTGCTTTCAACACCAGGGCCATGGGGAACGTCAGAGACGGGCCCGTTGTTCTCGGTGAGGGCCTGGCCCAGGGGGGTGATGAGAGCACATGTGTCCGGCTTACCACCATCACACTAAGCACGCCAACACATGCCTCGCATCTAAATAAAACGCTCCAATCCTTGCAGGATACCCGGGAAGGGGGTCCTGTGGCCCCCCAAGTACAGGACAGCGCTCAGCGCCTCCTCTCCCTGGACTCTCCACGCCGCTTCCAGTCTTGCTCCTCCAAGGCTCCCCGGTGGCATGCTGCCAGTGCAACGGCCCCAGCCGGCCTCGGTCTCTCCGTGGGATGGCAGGGGCATGGTGCTAGGGGGTGCCAGGGACTGCCGGGGCCATTCCCTGCTCTGCCTGGCCGGGGAGAGACGCTGTCCCTGCTGTGGCCCTCACCCAGGATGCCCATGTCGTATTTGCCCTCCTTCTTGTCCGTCTCGATGAGGCGGTCGAAGGTGTCCGAGAAGTACTGGAAGAGCGCGTTCTGCTTGTGCACCTCCAGCCCCAGAATGCGGTTCAGGAACTTGGTGATGGAGCAATCTGGTGGGCAGGCAGGGAGGGCGCTCAGGCCGCGTCAGGAGGGGCCCTGGCCTGGGAGGGGTGGGGGTCTTCCCGCTGGCGCTGGGGGGCCTGCGCACAGGACTCACCCTTCTCCACATCCAGACAGCCGGACCTAGACTCACGCCCCCCAATGCCGACGGACAGCAGGCCCTGCTTCATGTCTGTGGAACGCAGGACCTAGAATGTGTGCTGCCCTGCCCCGGGCCGGGCCCTCCCCAGCCAGCCCTGGATCTTCCCTGCCCCTGGCGCCCCCTTGGTAAGTG